CAGGGCGGGGCGCCCTGCAGAACGGAATCCCCCACCCCACGCACACCCAACATTCCCAGCCCGCAGTCCTCCCTCGGAGGTGCTGCAGAAACGCAGGCTGCCCGTCCCCGGGAGGGCCACACACCTGCCTTTACTTCACCGCAGACCTCAGAGCCCTGCCGGCATGTGGGCACCCGAAGCTTCAGACTGCAAGGCCTCCACCGTGACCAACTCGGCGGTGGCCTCCCCGGACTTCATTTTATTTGGGAGAAGAGGTTCCAGCCCTGCTTCCTGTTTCTAATCACTGAGGCCCCATCACCCTACCACCCCGTCCCCAGCTGCGCCAGCCCCCCTGACCAGGCTGTGCAGGGGGCTCAGACCCGGAAGGCGCCATTGTCCTTCCAGTGTGGGCAGAAAGCTCTAGGCAAGCAAGTCTGTCCTGCCTTCCTGGGGTCAGCCCCACGATGGGGTGCAGGCTGGCACATGGAGGACCCCCTTCAAGCCACTTGGCTACAAGCCTAGCCTCCCAGGGCTCTGAGAGCCCCAGCCCCCGGGCCACGCACAGCCCAGCTTCGGAGCCCGTCTCAAAGTCAAGGCTCCCCATGGGGGCTCCCTGGGTGGCAGCTGGGCCAGAATGAAGACAGAGGAATGAGGAACCCCTCTCCTTGTTCTGTGGACTCTGCAGCCCCGAAGTCAGCCCATCAAGGCCCCTGCCCTCCTCCCAGGAACCCCATCCCACCCACCCTCAAGGATTAGGTCACACAAGAGCCTCCAACAGTTCCTGGGCTGACTCTCTCAAACCTCCAGCCCGTGGCTGGCTGCCAAGGCCCAACCAGGCCAAGGCCTCCTGGCTGCAGGCAGGGCGGCCCACTGCCCCCAGGATGGGAGAGGCTCCCCAGGCCTCTCCACATCTTACTCCTTCTCCCGAAATGCCTTTCCACCCTTAAAAACATGTTTTAAAGGGGAGATAACAGTAACCTCCCTCAGAGGGCTGTTGTCAACTACTTAATACGTGGACAGTTCTTAGCCGTGGGCCTGGCATGTAGTAAGCTCTCAGCACGGCTAGCTACTGCTATTCTGCTATTTTGCTCCCAAGCCACACCAAGCGGAGTGAACTCTTCCTTTTCTGAGCCCCTGCCACTCTTCAGGGTCACCAGCCGGCACCTTCTGAAATGGGCTTCTGCTCCACGGACCCAAAAGTTGGCTTTGACCGTTCCGGACAAGGGGCCAGGCACTGGGCCTGCGGGCCAGTCTGTTCCTGTGTGGGGCGAAGTCCCTGGGCAGAGGACCCCCCACCCCTCCACGGCAATGCCGACACAAAGAGGGGCCCCCATTTCATATTTTACATGGCTTACCAAGCACTTCCACGTGGATTTCTGCTTTGGGGGGGGTAGGCAGAGCAGAAATAATTACTCCCGTGTTCCAGTGGGCCCCTCGATGCTCAGAGGCAATGGGTGCCCTACGCGGGTCTCACAACCAGTAAGTGGCCAGTCAGCCTTCAAAGCCTGCTGCTGGATTCCAAGCCCAGTGCTCTTTCCTCAGCACCAAGCCGGGCCACAACCGGTTAAGTGCGTCTCCCTCCTCCTGACAAGCTGAGATGCCAAAGGAATTAGAGGCAGCCGATGAAAAGCAGACGCCCTCCCGCTGGTCTCTGGGCCAGCTCCCAGGAAAGAGAGAACAACTGATAAGTGGCCCCTGAGGCCCACCCCGCCCCGTGAGCTCAGCTCCTGGCAGAAAGACCTCACTGAGGAGAGCCTCTTGCCAGAGCTGGGGCCAGACCGCAGGGCTCAGAACAAGAAGTGGCCAAGGCCAACCGTGTTGCCACTAACCCCCTCGAGCCCTGACAACCTAGCCACCAGGTGCGACTCTCGTTTTTCAGACAGGAAAGGCTTGCAGAGATGTGACTTCCCCAGCTAGCAACCAGTAACCACCTGAGGACAGCTGGGCTACACCTGTGTCTCAGCCCCGCTCACAACCCCCTTCCCACCCACAGCCGGAGGCTGGGCCCACCGGGACGGCCCCAGACCCCATTATCAGGTCCCCCGGGGTTCAGGGTCCCCTTGCTGTTGGGGGAGAGGGATCACCTCCTAGCCACGGTGAAGGCCCTCTTGGCAGAGGCTCCAGGGGAGGTTGAGGCCTCCAGATGGGAGTGGGGCAGGGCGGAGGCCGGGCGGGAGTGGTGATTCACTGAGGAGGGGGACAGGCAGCACCGGGAGTCTAGGGCGCTCCCACTCAGCAGCCCAGGATTCCCCACTGGGGGCCAACCCTCTAGCCGCCTCTCCCACCTCAATGATACCAGGCCTGTGGGGCCCAGGGCAGAGCCGGGCTCAGGCCAAGCGAGGGTGTGAGTGTGGGGTGGCATCCATCTGAACAAGCCCAAGCTCAGGAGTCCAGTCAGAGGGATCTTTCACATTCATTCAACGAATGTAACTGTGGAAAACAGCATGGAGGTTCCTCAAAAAAACTTAAAAATAGAATTGCCATATATGGTCCAGCAATCCCATTTCTGGGTATATTTGAAGAAACTGAAAACATTAACTCGAAGAGATAGCCGGACTCCGTGGTCACTGCAGCATTATTCACAGTATGGAAATAACTGGCCAAGTGGATAGAGAAGGATTTATAGACACGCTGGAATATTACTCAGCCAAAGAAAAGTATGAGATCCTGCCATCTATGTCAATGTGGATGGACCTTGAGGGCGTTATGCTGAGTGAAATAAGTCAGGCAGAGAAAGGCAAATACTGTAGGATCTCACTTACATCTTTTTAAAAAAGGGGGGATCTAAAAAAGCAGACTCTTTAAAAAAAAAAGCAGTTCATAAATAGAGCAAACAGATGAGTGGTGGGGATCAGGGGTGGGTGGAATGCATGAAGGGACCCAAAGGTACAAACTTTGAGTTATAACATCAGTAAATCATGGGGAAGTAGTATACAGCATGCTAATACAGTTAATAACACTGGATTGCACATTTGAAAGTCACTGAGAGAGTGGATCTTAAAAGTTCTCATCACAAGAAAAAAATGTTTTAACTCTGTGCCTTGACAGACGTTACCTAGACTTCTTGGGGGAGGGGTGGGACGTGTCATGTCACAATAGATACAAATATCGAATCATTATGTTGTACATCTGAATATAATGTTGTAAGTCGATTGTACATAAATAATCCACGTATATAATAAAAGATGAAGAAAATCATGGTGCCTCCTCCACCTCCGCCCCAGGAAAGAGGCCAAAAGAGCAGGTGCTTGGGGTGGGGTAAGAAGGGCCAGAATTAGGTTCGATCCCACCAGCAACGTTGTAGAGACTCACAGTGTGCTGAGGGTCCAGGAACAGCAAGGAGGATGCAGAGCCTGGAGGTGAGGACGGTCCGTGAGGTCTCGGGTCCCTGCAGGCAGATGACAGACACCAGCCCGGCAAGCAAGGGGAGAGGCCGCTGGGCCGGTGTCAGCAGAGGGGGTGTAGATCAGGTTGGGGTCAACCTCCCTGGGTGGAGATCCTAGCTCCCTCCACTGGCTGCCTAGGGGACTGAGGGCGACTCTCTGAGCCTCAGTGTCCCCATCTGTGAAATGGGGACCAGATTAGCACCTACCTGGTGAGAGAGAGAGAGAACTGAGCTCACGCTGCCTGCAGAAGGGACCTATTCTCCCCGAAGGGGCGAGGGGAGACAGCGGGAGGTCGCCCTTCGCCTGGTCTTGAAGGGAAGCAAGGAGTACAGCTAGCGGGATTGTAAGCGGAGAGATTCCAGCACACGGAGATGGGGGAAGACAGCTGAGCGCATTCCAGGAACGGGAGAAGTTACTGAGGCTAGGCTTCTGGGTGGGCCTGGGGTGCAAAAATTGTCACAGAAAACAGTGAATATTTTCGGGTTTAGGATGTGCCAGCCTCCATGTGCTACACACATCCTCCCCACCAGTGCTCGCAGAACACCTGGACTTGGGGCTGCAGGGTGAAAGGCTCAGAGTCCCGTTCATTCAGCCACCAAATACTTAAAAAGCACCTACTATGTGCTGGGCCCCAGAGAATCACCGCTGAGCATGGAGCCTACGTTCTAGGGAGAGACAGATAATAAACACAAGCCCACAGATGGTGGTGACGGCTCAGAAGGAAAGAAAACTAGATGCCGGGACCCAGAGTGACGGGGGGGAGGCACAGGTGATCAGGAAGGCTCATCTGCAGAAGAGCTGTGTGGGTTGACACCTCTGACAATGAGAAGGTGTGATCAAGAAATAATCTGGGTGGAGTGTCCTGGCAGAGGAAACGCCAGAGCAAAGGTCCGGCAGCGAGGGTTCCCACGTGCCCTAGGGATAAGAAGGTCAGGGTGCCACCAGGGGCTGAGTCACAGGGAGGGGGAGTGACCCAAGCTGGAACTGGAGGGACACGTGGGGACCATCACTCTGGGTCGTGTGGTCCAGGGGAGATTTGGGATTTCGTTCTAAGTGTTGTGTGAAACCAAGAGGGGTTTACACAGAGAAGTGACAAGATCTCTGATTGACATTTTTAAAAGGTCACTCTGGCTGCTCTGGGGAGAATGGGGCAGGCCGCTCACAACTGTCCCCTTGCCCAACCTGCACCTCTCCGACTCCAGCCTCCGGGACCGAGGGATGTGTGCTCTCTAGTTATATTTCCTGGCATTCTGGATCTACCTGGAAAAGACCCACCAGTGATTTTAGAGGAAAGTCAATTACAGCCAGCCAAGCTTGTTTTTCAGCGTTTTTACAGGCCCCGAGGGTCCGTGAGATTCAGAACATAAACGCATAGACCCGTGTTTGCCCGTAGGAGCCTGGGTGCATTTACGACTGGAGCAATAAACCGCCGGGGCCAAACTCTGCTCTCTGGTTCGGCACAGCAGGGCACCCCCCGCCCCACCCCCTGGCAGAGCATCACAGGGCCCGGGTTCAAGTGCCGTCTCTGCCCCTCACTTTGGCAGCCTCTCCTAACTTAACAGCATCTCTCCTGTCCGGAGACCACCTTCTCCAGAACATCGAAGGCGGAGCAGATGTTCCCTGTGTCCCTTCCAGATCACGGAGGCAAGAACAAGCCAGAGGCAGCTGCGGAGAACCACCTGGAACCTCTGAGTCGGGGGCCTCGGCAGCCTGCCTTGGGCTGAAGAGGCAGCCAGGACCTCACCCGGGGGCTCACCACCAGGGCAGGGATGCGGCAGCCCTGGGCCACCCCAAGGCCCCAAGGCTCAAGCCAGCGATCCTCAGTGGAGAGTTCCTGAAACATTCACCTATGTTAGTTTTCTTCTTATTTTCCTTTCCTCTTTTCACTTTTCCCCTGACTCAGGCGGCCCCAGGAAGGGCTGAGGCAGAGGAAGGCAGAGGAAGGGGAAGTCTTTTTCCTGGCTTTTGAAGTTCAAAAGCCTAGGCCTTGGGAGGAGAGGAAAGACCTCCAGGCACTGGTTTTGTGTAAAGAGCCAGGCTTCCAGAGCCCCCACCCAGAAAAGGACTGGCTGAGAAGAGCAAGCATTACCAAGCATTGCTGGCCCCTGCTGAAACCAGAGGCTGCAGCCCACTCCAGGTGCAGGCAGGAAGAGGATTTAGGGGCGCCTAGGTGGCTCAGTCCCTTAAGTGTCTGCCTTCAGCTCAGGTCATGATCCCAGGGTCCTGGGATCGAGTCCCATGGTCACGGGATCAAGTCCCGAGTGGGGCTCCCTGCTCAGCGGGGAGTCTGTTTCTCCCTCTGCCCCTCCCCCTGCTCGTGCTCTCTCTCTCCCTCAAATAAATAAATAAAATCTTTAAAAATAAAACAAAAACAAAAACAACAATAAGACCACTACAAACAACAGTACTATCACGGGCTAGGGATGGGGGACATCAAGCTCCGGATGCCCTCACCGACACAAATCCCCCCGACTCTCAGTCCCGCACAAGCGCCTAGAAGTTAGGCATGACCCTGGGGAGGTTGTGGGAGGGAATGACCGTGACTAAGTTTCCATTCCCTTAACAGAATGAAAGCTGAATAAATTACATGTTATTCTAGTTACAATATAAATATTATATATTATGAATTATATGCAATACATATGTTATATACGTCTATGAGATAAATATGCATTGCATAATATATATTACATAAAATATATAAACATAAATATAAAATGTAACTATTTTAGTTATAAAAATAGATAGAGGGACACCTGGGTGGCTCAGTAGTTAAGCATCTGCCTTTGGCTCAGGTCATGGTCCCAGGGTCCTGGGATCAAGTCCCACGTCAGGCTCCCTGCTCCATGGGAAGGCTGCTTCTCCCTCTCCCACTCCCCCCTGCTTGGGTTCCCTCTCTCGCTGTGTCTCTCTCTGTCAAATAAATAAAATCTTTAAAAAATAATGATAATATTAAAATAAGGGCGCCTGGGTGGCTCAGTCATTAAGCGTCTGCCTTCGGCTCAGGTCATGATCCCAGGGTCCTGGGATCGAGTCCCGCATCGGGCTCCCTGCTCCTTGGGAGCCTGCTTCTCCCTCTGCCTTTCTCTCTCGCTCTGTCTCTCATGAATTAAAAAAAAAAAAAAATTGAAAATAAAAATAGATCGAAAAAGACAGTGATGATAGATAAATAAGGGAAGCCCCAGTGCACTGTGTGAACACCTCTGCTTGAGAGCAGGCCTTACCCCGCTGGAGCCGAAGTGATGTAGTGCCCAGAGAGGACATCACAGGTGGCTGTCTGGGGGACAGAGAGCCAGGGGCCCACCGGGCTCCTCTTGGGTGGGACGCCCCTTGCCTCAGACTAAGAGCCAGAGGGAGCTCGAGGTGGTCTTCTCCCCGCCCCCCGCCCCCGACCCTGTGCATCTAGGACAGCTACAGCCCTGCAGAGCCACGCGGCCGACCAACCCATGTCTGCTGACCAAGGTGGCTCATGTCCCCCAGGACGGCCGAGAGCAGGGCCGTACAACCCACCCAGAGGGGCCTGAGTGGTGAACTGCCACGTCTGTGGGTGGGAACAGGCCCAAGGCAGGGAAGGGGAGAGAGGACAGACACAAAAGGTAGGACCTGGGTGACTCACCACCGAACAAAGAACCTGCAGAATTAAGCAAGCTTCCTGGGAAAGGGCAAGAAGTGAATCGTATTGTGTGTTATGTCAACCCCCCAGCCAGCCCAAATCCCCAGATCTGCCCTGTAAAGTGGAGGGAAAACAGTTTCCACCCACAGAACAGGGACTTCCATCAACTCCATTGTCCCCACCCCTCAAGAGGGCTTGTCCCAGAGCAAAGAACCGGCCAGCTCTGCCAGGCTCCACGGGGAACAGCCCCAGGTCCCAGGCCTGCTCCACCCTCCCACCCTCCAGGTTTCAGCTCATCTGCTTGCCTGGCTGGGGAGCCAAGAAAGGGCTCTGAGCCCCAACAGGTCACCGCCTGACTCACCGCCACCCCTCCCCGAAACTCTCAGGTTCAACCTCCAGAAACAGCTAACACCAGGTCACTTCGCGCCTGGGTCCGACTCCCAGCTGGGGTAGGCAATGGGTACCCAGAGGACGCTCTCAGCAGCCCCAGCAGCATCTCTGCCGACTCCTGCCCTGGTCTGGGGCTGAGGAACAACTGGCCCCGGGAAAATGCCCAAGGCTCCCGTGGGAAATCAGAGCAATTGCCATCAACACGCGCCCTCCTGCTCCCAATCTCCCAGCCCCGACCTCTGCAGCAGGAACAGACAGACTTCAGCCTGGAGAGTTAGCACCACCCGACAGCGGCAGCAGGTCTGAATCCAGGCATCTCTGTTACAGGGCAAGTCCCCAGAGCAAGTGGCACCGGGCGCGGCTTGTAATGGCAGAAAAACTGGGAAAAATACAGACATCCATCTATAAGGTACCGGGAACTCAAATTATATGACATCCTACAAAGGGATATTCTGTAATTTGAAAAAAGTCAAGTGTATCTATAAGAGCCAAAGTTTCAAAAGATATCCAAGACATAACATGAAGTGAAAAAAGCAAGATCCAGAACTATATGTCTAGAATGATACCACTATTCCATATTTGACCCTCACCCTACCTGTCCGTTCTCTGCCTTTCTCTGATCTGCTCTGTGCCCCCAGGAAGCTTGCCCCTGTGGACTACAAAAGTGGGGCTCCCTCGCTGGCTGAATATCAGTTGGTTAGGCCAATGGAACGTTCTAGCGATAGATCAGAGGATGGGACCAGAGACAAAGTGGGGCGTTTCTTCGCTCTGATCCCTCTCTTCCTGTTCTGATGGTGGCTTGTGCTCTGCAAGGCCCACAGCTGCAAACATTGGGAGAGCGGGACGTGAGACCTTCCTAGTTTTGATGTTCCCACCCCACATCATATCAAACACATTAAAATATACACACTTCTCACACTATGCATAATTTTGGTTATAAACTTTTGAAGGGGTTTGTATGAATTTAATAATTCTGAGCCTGAGAATACATTATGCATTTTGTTCATACCAGTTAAACTTTATTGCTTCTACATAAAGCTAGGTCATAGTTGAACCGAGTTGCAGTAAGCTAGTTGAAATGATGTTACCTAAATAAATACTTATTAATTACAATTTTGAGGATTTCTTTTTCTATTTTGGAGCCAGTAGATACATGATCATTGGGGGGGGGGGGGCACTCTAAAAAATTCACAGGTTCTAGGCATCATGGCTGGCGGCCAAAATGGCTGGAATGTCCAGAATTTGCCAGACCCTCCTGGGTCAATGCAGGGATCAGCCCGAGGAGACGCCAAGGTGGAAGAGAATAAACCAAACCCACAAGGGGAAATCTGCTCTGCTCAGAGGCTGCATCCAGAGCTAGCACAGAGCCAGAAGCCCAGGGTGGAAGGAGCCTGAATTCTGCAGCTTGCCCAATGAGCTGACCCCACGAGCTGATCTCATGAACCTGTGGCCTGACCAGTCCCGCTTCAGCAACCCAGCCAGATGGATAGGATCAGAATGGCCCACCCAGACCTCCAACCTGTTTTCTGGGCCATGCTGGGACTTGCAGCCAGCCGAATGCCGGAACAGGCGGCACCCCAACTTCCTGCTCATTAGGATACACCAAGCACTGGGCCCAGGGGCTGAACATCTGGTCCCAGTCCATACCTGCTGGCCCAAGCATTCCCACCCACCATTGCTACCAGACCCTTAAATGGGGCCTGCAGAGGCTCCCCAAGGGGCATTGACCATGACTCACCAACCCGGCACCACGTGCACACACACACACACCCTGAATATCGGGGGGAGGACGAGCAGGCCTAAGGTTTTATAGTCCAAGTCCCCAAGGGGGACTTCCAGATCCCCCGGGACCCTCAGGCTCTGGCTGAGGCTCCTTCTCCTGCTCCTCTCATGGGCCAGAACCAGGCATACCCTCCAAGGCAGACTCCCTGGCCACTCCCCCAGCCCTGCCCCTGAAGCTCCAGCAAACCTGGGGTCAGGGCTCACACAGACACAAGCACAGCCAACCCAGGGTACAGTTCTGGCTGGGGGGGTGGGGCTCTGACAGGAACCATGCACATTCACTGCCATGTCTACAGCGCTAATAACCAAGGAGCTTGTCTTCCCTCAAACTGGTTTCCTTGTACAGTGACCGGGTCACTGCCCCGTGTAGCCGGAAACAGCTGCTCCCTGCCCTCCCCCTGTGCTAAGGCAGGCTCGAGGGTTTTGGCCTGGAGCTCACAGTGTGTGGGGTTTAAGGATTTGAGGAGCAGGTGTTAGAGTCTAAGAAACTCTGAGCCTTGACTAACACTTTTTATCTAACTGCTGCACACAGCAAATCAAAGTGGCTATTCTGTAGGCTCCCTGGCAGGGGAGAAAAACACCCCCCACCGCCAAGCAGGGCTCTCCCAAGGACCAGGATGGAAGAGCCTGCCTTAAGACACTTGGTGGTGGCCCTCCAGGTCCCACCCAGAACTGAGACAAACCCCCAGCCTCATACCTCGAAGGCCACTGCCCCGAGAACAGCAGGGGCTGACAGTCCAAGGGCCATGGCAGACCCTCCTAATGGCAGGAGAGATGTTAGACGTCAGGTTCCTCAGCGACCCAGGAGCCAGCTCTTCTGTTCCCAGGGCCTTGAACCATGAAGGTGAGATGTAGAGAACAGAGTCCAAGGCTGTGGGTGATGTGCTGGGAGACGCGCAGGCCCCAGCCACTCCTTCCACCAGCTCACAGAGGGACTGA